TGCTTTAAGATCAAATCAAGTAATATTGTTCGTTTGAATTCAAAAAATGTATAAAATATTAATTTCGTGTACTGATCCTGTACCAGTTACCATAAGAAATTTCCAATTTTTCTCTTTTATTTTTAAACAGGAATTGCGTTTGCACATATTTTTTCAACATATAACGGGTTACCAAAAGTCAGTTCAAGCACCAAAGACTCGGACTTTAAATCCTCTTATAACTAAGGTAAAGCGGGGTACTATTGTGGCGATTTTTGTGTGAAATACCGTCAACTCAGAATCTAGCTACTAATTAATAGACATTCTCGATTAATCTGAACTATAATTTCAAATTTTGATATTCTATGGTAAGAAGAGAAGGTTGGATGTCAGATAAACCAAACATATAGTCTTTCCGTCCAAAATTCCGAAGCTTTTTTTTTTCTCGTTAAATCTGAACTGATTTAGAATTTATGTTACTTGAAATCAACAACTTACACTGTATTCAATAAAATCAAAGATTGATTGATTGATGGTTGCTTAACGTCCAGTCGCGAATATTTCATGCATGTTCAGGACGATAAAAGCAAAGAAGTTAATTTTCAAATTAATAAACCTTTTTTCTCGTAAGAAAGACAATTTTGTTTTAAAGTAAGCCTCCTCTGAACATTTGAAGGTCCCCACTCTGTATTGGTTACCTAAACTACACAAAAAAACCCGTAAAATATCGTTTCATCTCGGCCTCTATTAAGTGTTCTACTACTAATCTATAGGTTCTTTTAACGATTTCCTTACCTACCATCAAAGAATTTATCATTAGTTTTTGTAATTAAACATATGAAAATAGTGGAATTAACCATTTATGGAGTGTAAAAAATCTTTGGATGTTTTAGATAAATTACGTGCTTTTGATGGTCCTTTTGATTCTGTGGACTGTGACTTTTTGACTCTTTATACTACACTTCCACACAATGTTATCAAACAAAAGATTTCATATCTAATTAAATGGTCGTTTGATAAATCTGATTAAAAATCTATTTGCTGCAACTCATATAAAGCCTTTTTCTCCAATGAGCAAGGCAAATATACTAGATATACTTACTGGAGGTGTGATGAGCTGATTAAAGCCCTAAATTTTCTCCTTGACCACATTTATTGACGTTTCGGCAATAAAGTTAATTTATCGACAGATTGTAGGTATTCCTTTTAATAGCAGACTTGTTCTTATACTGGTATGAATCACAGTTTATGGCCAAACTCAGTGAAGAACCGTCTAAATTCCATTTAATTGATAAATTCAACAACATTTGCCGTTATCTTGATGATATTTTTTTTGTTAAATAATCAAGAATTCTCTAAATATACTGCTGAAATTTACCCAAAGGAACTTACTTTAATTAAATTAATTATTAACAGCAATAACTGTCTTTTCCAAGATTTAGATATTTCAGTTTACACTAGAAACCCCCTCAAAAATTGACGACAAAAGGGATGATTTTGCTTTCCCTTTTGTTACTTTTCCTTTTTTGGACATTGATCTTCCTTTGACACCGTCTTACGGGGTTTATATATCCCAACTCGTTCGCTATGCTCGTGTCTGTAGTGACGTTTTGGATTTCAATGAGCGTATTCTATGTATTACTTGTAAATTATTAAGTTCGTTACCACAAATTACTTTAAACCTTGATTAAATTCTTCCATAGATACAAAAATTTGGTTTGCAAGTTTGGCTGTACCTGTAGAAAAAATTTGTTTCAAACGGAATAGTAAATCCTAAACTTTACGTTGATATTGTTAACCGAGCCCGGAAAAGATACGATCCGGGTAAACTTATCAATCCTTTAGATAAACTTATTCTAAAAGGTTACCTATTCACGACTGTAATTAAATCTGTGAATATTGTTTTATTGGTATAAATATTGATGTTGTTATCAGTAAATTAAAACCATACTAAATATTACACATATGTACTTTCACGGTACTGCTATCTGTCAATACCTATATTTTGGCATTGCACAAGATCATGTTTTTCTCTGACTGTTAATGTCGTCTTTAACTAAATCCATTGGATGTTGGATGTGTACTGATTGATATCTTAGTCTTAGATACATGATTTATTTTATTAGTTGTTATTGGCTTTGTACTAGCTGTAAGTACATTGTAACTGCGAGTACTCTCAGATCTGTACTTGGTGTCTTTTTTGTTGTTAGGGATTATGGATGGATATATACCCATGCCACGTCCTGTCTGTGTTTTTGTTTGATGTTTTTCTATGCATCGATCTAATGAGTTAAGCCTTTTTCAACTGATTTTTATAGTTTGTTCTTATGTTGTGCTGTTACACCACTGTCCCAGGTTCGGGGAGAGATAAGCGCTCACAAATATGTTTAACTCCGCCACATTTTATATTTGCCTGTCCCAAGTCAGGAGCCTGTGGTTCAGTGGTTGTCGCTGGTTCATGTCTGTCATATTTGTTTATCGTAAATTGTTTTGTTATAAATTAGGCCGTTGGTTTTCTCTATTTGAATGTTTCATATTTTTCATGACGGGGCCTTTTAGAGCCAACTATACGGTATGGATTTTTCTCATTGTTGAAGGCCGTACGGTTGCCTATAATTGCTTACATCCACTTCATTTTAACTTTGGTGGATAGTTGTCTCATTGGCAATCATACCACATTTCCTTAGTTTTATTTTTATTTTTATATTACTTTGTCTGAAAACGTTAAGTTTTGTAAAATCGAGGAATTCGTGATGACGCCATTTCCCACAACGTGTTAAAAAAAGTGAAAACTCATTATTCTCATGTTTTAATTTGATCAAACAAAACAAAGTTTTTGAAAATTAAACGAAAATTATAGTGCGCTGATAAGTATGCCGAATTTACGAAACGCGTCCATTATTACATAAAATGCTAGGTGACGGTAACTGGTATCTGACGGTAGCTGGTCCTCGACCAGTAGAAGGGGAAAAACCTTTCTACTATTTGTTCAAACAAATACTCTTTTCATTACATGTAATTTTCAGTTTGTCATGGGTATGCTTCGACATTGTTAGTATACCAATTACATATGTTATTGTTTTAATTTGTACATAACTATGCTGTGGAATTCAATACACATAAAGGTAGTAAGCACATACTTTTACTTTGAGCGGGTCACCATTTTAGAAATCGACGACCTTTACGACGGACTCGAAAAGAGCGACGTCATGAAACGGCTACGACCGAGAGCGATGCGTATAAACAATAGTGTTATTTCCCTTTAAAACATTCTGTGTCTATCTTTAATCTCATTATGCTTTGTAGCTTGAAATGCTTGATATCAAGAAGACTGTCTATGCTATTTTGTCTGTGCATTATGAACAGAATAGTTTTTGGAAAGACATAAGAACACAGGATTCGAAAATTCCGTAAGCAAATAGTATCATGTAAAAAAAAATATAACAAAAATTCCGAACTCCAAGGAATCAAAACAGAAAGTCATTTATCAAATGGCAAATCAAAAGCTCAAACACATCAAACGAATGGAAAACAACTGTCACATTCCTGAATTGGTACGAGGCATTTCCTTATGTAGAAAATGGTAGATTAAACCTTGTTTTATAGCTAGCTATAAAACCTCTCACTTGTATGACCGTCGCATAAAATTATATTGACAACAATGTGAAAACAAAACAAACACACATAATAGGTAGCAATGTCAAAAGTTTGGGTACAGCAATCAACACTGTGTTATAATCTTAATCACTATAAAAACAAATAACTATGTCAACACAGAAAAACAAAATGGCATATAGACAAAACACATAAGCACAAATGAAAGATAAGAATACAAAAAATGACCATAGCACAATAACATAATGACGGGATGTATAAATACCAAGTCACGCCAAAAAGATATTACCAAAAATGGACTAAACAGTCAAGGTTAACAGTATACAAAGACAAATAAAAGAACACTATAACACGTAATAAAGATGATAAACAAGTCAGTACCTAGAATTTATACTTCAAGACCATCATGTATCATTTGTGAAGTTGATATGGAATATTCATCAACAAGGTCTTGGTATCTTCCGATAAACTTTTTTAGAAAAAGGACAAGACGTTCTTTGACATAACCTTGGTTCATCAACTTTCTGCTCAGACACTGGTGACGTTTTATAAAGTCTGAGTAGCAGCTGCATGCTCTTGAATATCGAATGAGTTGGGAAGTGTATATCCCATATGCAGGTGAAGTTGGTATATTGCTGCTAAGTTGGGGGAAATTGATAATTTCAAATTTAAATCGTCTCGTTTGTCATAGATTCTGGTACTAAGTTATTTTATGATTATGACCATATCAATGATAATTCATGTCACTCCTGGGCTGGTGATACCCTCGGAAAAAAAACTTTACCAACAGCGGCATCGACCTTGTAGTAACCGTTGTAAAATAACTCATCATAGATACCAGGATTGAAATTTCGTACGCCAGACGCGCATTTCGTCTAAAAAAGACACATCAGTGACGCTCAAATCAAAAAAACGTTTAAAAGAACAAATACAGTACGAAGTTGAAGAGCATTGAGGACCAAAAATTCCTTAAAGTTTTAACAAATACAGCTATGGTAATCTATTCATGGGGTAGAAACCATAATTAGTTAAATTAGTTTTAAAATGCTCAAAGGAATTTACTGTAAAATAGACACTTCGTTTCTAATTTCTTTTGAAACGAATGCACAGACAAAGTGCATAACAATTATAGATTGATTGTTGGAGCGCTATTGGCTGTATCGTGGCGGCCAGCTTTTATTGGTTGACCTTGACAACCAACATTCGGGAGGAAAAATGGCAAACCTAGTCAATTAAGATTGGCGTCGAACGCACCTGCCACGTGCGAAGTTCGAACTCACAACTTCAGTGTTGACAGGTTAGTGATATAGTAGATGAACTTCTTAGACCACTCTGGCACTGAGGCACCCATAACAGTAGATACAACCTATTCTATTAAATTTGACAAGATGAAATAAGGTCGAATGCTGAAGCCAACAATATTTTTAATCTGAGTATGAACATTGAAGATTATGCTATATACATTACATGTATTACAGTAGATGAACAAAAAAATAAAACACGAGATTCCGAAAAACAGTACAAAATGACACTTTTCAACAATTTCCATGGCTCTGAATAAATAATAAATAAACTCATCATAGATACCAGGATTGAAATTTTGTACACTAGACGCGCGTTTTGTCTACAAAAGACTCATCAGTGACGCTCGAATCAAAAAGGTTAAAAGGCTAAACAAAGTAAAGTACGAAGTTGAAGAGCATTAAGGACTCACAAATTCCTTAAACTAAACACGTAGTAGCCTACAATCGATTGGTCAATTTCCCAGGGGCAAGTTTACATTTTGTATTTTGGAAATCACTATGCAAATGTATTCTGACGTCAGAAACCTGGTGGTCCCGACCTGTTAAATGTTTGTCACACATGTGACATAAACGCAGTATTATTATCACCTTGGTTATAACATATCATGGTTTGCGCTACACTGAGACGCTTAGTTGGATGCTTAACGTGTAAGTTCACAAAGCAACGGTCAAAAGGACGATATATCACAAGTGCAGACACAATACTTCGACTGACCAGTCTTTTTTCTGATCCTGAATACCACAGCAAATACCAATATGTCTTTGGTTTAACCAAGCCAGCTATCAAACTGACGATCTCCTGCACACACATCTACGAGACTGCAGAGAAGTTCCTTACACAATGGAAATGTTATGAAAAATAAGTAGCATATTTATATATTTCGGAAAAATTTAGAAATTTTTCATTTACCCCTGGTAAAAGTTATAAATTGATATGGACTGTAATAGTTCATAAATAAAATAACATAGAAATCATATTTGTTTTTCAAACTGGGTGTTGTTGTGGCGGCACATATCTAATATATGATTTCTTCAAGGTTGATATTCCTATGAATGCGCTGCTAGGATATCCAAACAGAACTTCGAACATGGACGTTATGTAACCTTTTTGTTTTAACAACACAGCTAAAAGAATAATGCAAACCATGACAACAAACATGGAAACAGCAATTATCAATGTTGTAAGTGCTTTTTCGCTTATGACGTTCCTGTTCCTGTTCTTAACTGAAAAGTGAACATAAAATATTATTAGAATAATTGATATCAAAGGTTTATTTTGTTATTTCTTTTAAACAACATGGTAATGTTGGATATATGAAACATAATTGTGTTGTTTGATATGTTATTTAAGAAGAATTATTGTGTTTTATATGCTTTTTGGACAGTTGAAATCATATATTTGACCTAAGTTTTGTTTTATCTAAATAACTATATCATAATAACACATTTGTAGATGTGTATAGATCAGAAAAAACACCAAAAAGCAATTATAAACTTTAGTACAATGAGAGATACAGCTAAACGATGTTTAGCTTACAGCAAAACTAGTTAAACAATTATGTAGATATAAGAAGATGTGGTATGAGTGCCAATGAGACAACTCTCCAGCCATGCCATATATATAAAACGGATTTTTGAAGGGAGTGTCATCAAAATTAGAAGTCGACAAAAGACGGCAACACTACTGGCAAAACAAAACTAGACAAGTAAGTACACGCGAATACCCCTGTCTGTAACATTTAATTATCATGAAAATAAACCATCTGTAATAAAAGAAAAACTCGAACAGTGTCAGAGCCCTGAAAAATTAGTCAACCTGAACAAAACTCGATATTAAGTCATCATTTGACACTAAATACCTAAATTAGTTATAGAGAAATGTGGGTAAGTCATTTTCATAAATATCAAAGGGCTGAAATCTGGGAAAATTGGTCAACTAGAACGAAATAAAACTTCGATCTGTAAGTCATCATTTGAAAAAAAAAATTCGAGATCTACTGCATTTCAAAAACCCATAAACTTTTAAAAATAAAAGGGTCAAAAGATCGCAAAATGTCGGTAAATTGAAAAAAAAAACGCACACGTGATCTCTCAATCATCATAATCATGATTATATATAAAAAGTAAAAAAGTATCGGAGCAATATATGGTGGCATGATGAAAAAATCGTTCATACAAAACTAGTATTTGGATTTCAGAGAAAAAACACGGATGGGCGGACGGAATAACGACCAAGTGTAACACCTTATGCCACGGACACTTAGAGACGGGGAATAAGATAATAAGCAAACAGCATTCCAAAGAACATTATTAAGAAAGCTATAGACTCAGCGTCACAAGACCACCAAAATAGGTAGTACACTGAGGTGTTCCGGGTAGTTGTTTTGCTCGTGACAAGTCGAATAAAAAAAAATTAGTTATAAATAAAGGCAATAGTAGTATACCGCTGTAATATAACTATGAAAGAAATATGGCTGTGGCTAAGATAAATGGTACAAATTTGTGGTATTAATGTTCTGGGAAACACATTTTCCATGTGGTAAACAAATTTTATTAATTAGATAAGCAGATAAGTTGATAATCAGAAACCACCATTAGGAAAATCCCGATAGAAATGTTAGCCCTACAAAATAGAATCAATTATATGCATCTTGAATATTGCTTCAAAATAATGAAAATTACACTGGTAAATTGAATTCGCTTGTCGTACAGTTTAATTGTCAACCTGCCTTTTTGTGTATATCGATTTCTTGTTTAGTTTTATAATTATAATAATCATATATATGCGTGTAACTAGTAAGGAACCTTGTTGATGGCTTACTATATTTTTCATAAACTTGACTGCCATAAGAGATATACATATAATCTTTTTGTGTTGGGTGGGGTAGCAATGAATGTTTCTGAAGGGATGTTAAGAAACTAGTTATTCCCACAATTGGCTTCAAATATTTTTCCGTTCACATCTTGGCCTTGATTTCCATAAAGATTTTACGACAATATTAGGGTTGGAACAACACACTAATGGCATGGACAAAATAGGGAATCATCCTTATAAACAACATACAACGCCTTATGTTTTATTTGTTTGTTTCCATTATTCGTATCTCATCTTCTATTTCTAAAAAGTTTCATTCTTTTTACAAGATTTTGCATCTTATTAGGAGATCTATATTTTAGGTCTTAATAATATAGTTACCCCCAACATTTTCACGTGTTTGTCGCAACTACTGAATCTCGACAGGGGTTGTCTTGAGTGACATCTAACTGTGTTTTGCCAATTAGATGCATATGGCTGAATTGTACGAAATTTATCAACAGATTTTCCACAGTCGAATGGAGGTATAATCATTTATCTGTTATTGAAGATAGTATGTTTACTTCGAGTTGCCTTTCGTTTTTTGTATCTTGTGGTTACGGACTCATCAACGTTACAGTTAACCCTATATCGTCAATTATTCTTCATTAGATTAAATTGCATCAGGCAACCTTTAAAACTGATTATAATTGAATAATGATAACATATTATGGCTTATTTCAAATACGATTTTGTATAAGGTTGTTGAGAGGGAAAGGGTAAATCAAAAGAACCGTATCAGTTACATTGAAGTCGTCAAACTGTATGTACCATTTGATTTACAAACGCTGCTGCTTATGTAGCTACAGTGCATGAAATCTTTCTCTTTTGTCCTTTCCAAACTGGTTACATATTGTTTTTTTTTTACATCGATGGTACTTTATTCAAGACTTGTGAGTATATAATTACGTAAATAAACTCATCATGGATACCAGGATTGAAATTGAGTATTTGCGCCAGACGCGCGTTTCGTCTACAAAAGACTCATCAGTGACGCTCGAATAAAAAAAAGTTAAAAAAAGGCAAAATAAAGTACGAAGTTGAAGAGCATTGAGGACCAAAAGTTCCTAAAGGTTTTGCCAAATACAGCTAAGGTAATCTATTCCTGAGGTAGGAAAGCCTTAGTATTTCAAAAATGTAAAGTTTTGTAAACAGTTGATTTATAATTATGACCATATCAATGATAATTCATGTCAACACAGAAGTGCTGACTATTGGGCTACAAAAGACTCATCAGTGACACTCGTATCAAAAGAGTTAAAAGGCCAAAGAAAGTACGAAGTTGACGAGCATTGAGGACCCAAAACTAATATATATCATATATATTTCTGATTAAGTTTAACAGAAAGATATACTAGCAAGATTAATGTTTCAATATATTGTTTATACATAAAAAGAAAAATGACTTGTAACGTAGATATAGTTAAAACGTTGTAAACATACATACCGTTAACTGGACATGTATTGAATTGTTTTCTATGAACCTCAATGGTTTTGGTACCAATCTTACAGGAAATCAACATGTCACCACTACAAAAATCACTTCTGAAGACATGTTTTAGACTAATATTCGCAGAATATAGTTTACCATTTTTCCTTTTCGACATTTCCATACGTTTTCCAAAGTTGATTCTCTATGAAATAAAATAAAAAGCAAAGCCTTTCGAATAAAACAAGTAAGAAATGTCAGGCTTGTTTTTTTATAATAATAAGTTTCTTCAGTGTAGTTGTTATATTTCTTTTAGATTTAGCCAGTGAGAACATAAGCACGCTTTGTGTTTTCTACCTAAACCCCGTGGAATAGACGGCATAAGCTAGATTAGGCAACACTTTTAAGTTTTTTTGTTAACTATGATGGCGTACATATTAGTGATTTGACAACACCAGCTGTTTAAATGTTGCTAATTTTCATTTCTGTGTGGTATAAAGAATACATAGTGGAATCTAATTGTGTAATGATCAATAATTTTTTATCCGAATAATATACACAAATAGCAGAGACATAAGCTGAATAACTTTATTAGAATAATCGCGAATTGGCAATATTGTTATTCTGTTCCTAACCATGCTAACGTAACGTTAAGCTGACAAAAAAATAACAAAATTACCGAACTCTAAGAAAACTTCAAAACGGAAAATCCCTAAACATATGGCAAAATCAACAGCTCAAACACTTCAAACAAATGGAAAACAACTGTCAAATTCCTGACTTGGTACAGGCATTGCCTTATGTAGAAAATGGTGGATTAAACGTGGTTTTATAGCTAGCTTAACCACTCTAAATTGGTACGTTTCAAATGAAGTCAACTGTTCCAAATTAGCATCGTTTTTGCTTACTGTTTAGAAAATACTTCAAATAGACAACAAAAATACCAGATGGCCGCGAAATTACTTAGACTCGACATAAACCTGCCATAAAGAGACTGCAAAAATATTTCGCTAGAGAGTTGAGACGACACATACTGTGGATTCATTTATTTTCGTTGGTACCAATTTTCGTGGATTAAGGAAAACTTGCATTTTTGTGGATATTTAATTTCGTGGTTTTGGCAAAGTCTGCAAACATCCCATTAGAAAATTTGTAATTCGTTGAACATTTAAATTCGTGGTTCCCTTGTACACACGAAATCCACGAAAATTGGTATCACACGAAAATTAATGAATCAACAGTATATAATGTATCGGTCAACCAATTTGGGATGGTTTCCATTTTTTTAAATAGGTCATGCTCCATTCTGTATTTGACAAACCTTTCATATATGGAAATGCATGTATCAACCAGTCCCTAGTCAGTAGTCTGTAATTCAGTTGTTGTATTTATTCTAGAATGTCTGTTATTCGGGGGGTTTTTTTGTACATAAATAAAAGCAATAATAGTATACTGCTGTTCAATAGTCATAAATCGATTTAACTGAAACAAATCCGGGTCACAATCCAAAACTGAGGGAAACACATCAACTATAAGAGGAAACAAAACGGAACAACAGAAACACTGAACTGCAACAAAAACAAATAAATCAGGCCGTTTATTTTCTTATTTGAATTGTTTGACATTTTGTCATGTGAGGGCCTTTTATACCTTGCTATACGATATTGGTTTTTCTCATTGTTGAAGGGCGTGCGTTATTCAATAATTATACCACTGACATAAAATTATTTTATACAAGAATGCTAACATACCTCAAATATGACTTCACATACTGGTGTTGGCCATACTTTCACAAAAAATATGTTGACATTTAAATGTCCATTTTGCAAGCTTGAAGTGACCACAGTTGTGTCTTTTCCTGGAATATCTATTTAAATAAGGTCATAGATAATACTGGATTAAAAACCAACACATTCACAGAGTATTATTAGCAAAAAATCTAAAAATGCGCCACTTTTGCATGTCTCAAATTCATCTATCTTCATTAAGCCTTAACCATGAATTTCAACTTTTTAAGGGCATCGGTAATGACATTTAAAAAAGAATAGCAATAATATCAATTCACCCTAATGCAGTAATTGCTTACATTCATAGTCCTTCTCGTTGAGTTTTAGTGTTGTTCGTGTTGTATCTACACCAAAAACACATTTATATTCACAGTCTACGTCAGACTCAGAAAAACTTTCTATTTCTAGGATGTACTGCGAGTAATCTTCTCCTAGTACTTCTTTATATTTCGAAACATCTGCAGAAATACCATCCTTACACAACAACTTGTTGTCAGGTCCGCCAGACCAACTTCGACTGTACTGTGTATCAAGAGGAATTTCCGTTTCATAGGCTGTACATGCAAGCTGTACTTTTCCTCCAAATGTCACAGGTTTTGATAAGAGAACTAAGTTAGCTGTAGTATGTAGAATAATAAAAATAATAAAATAAAAGTAAAGAACACACAACACATTTACACACAAACACATATTCGTGTATCTCTTTATTAATAAATATCGTGTTATGCACTAAAGATATAATATATTGAGAGAGAGAGAGAGAGAGAGAGAGAGAGAGAGAGAGAGAGAGAGAGAGAGAGAGAGAGAGAGAGAGAGAGAGAGTGGGGGGGGGAGGGGGAACAGTGGTATACCGCTATTCAATAGTCATAAATCGATTTAACTGAAACAAATCCGGGTCACAAACCAAAACCGAGGGAAACACATCAACTATAAGAGGAAAACAACGGAACAACATAAACACTGAACTGCTAAAAAAAAAACGCCAGCATACATAGAAACGGACTATTTGATAACAACTGCCATATTCATGACTTGGTACAGGACATTAGCGAAAAAATGGTGGGTTGAACCTGGTTTTATGGCTAGCCAAACGCCAACAAACTAGTTTAACCCCGCCACATTATGTATGTGCCTGTCCCAAGTCAGGAGCCTGTACTTCAGTGGTTGTCGTCTGTTGCTGTATATCATATTTATTTTTCCTTCATTAGTTTGTAAATAAATCAGACCGTTAGTTTTCTCGCTTGAATTGGTTTACATTTGTCATTTCGGAGCCTTTTATAGCTGACTATGCGGTATGGGTTTTACTCATTGTTGAATGCCGTACGGTGACTTATAGTTTGTTTATAGTCATTTGGTCTCTTGTGGTGAGTTGTCTCATTGGCAATCATACCACATCTTCTTATTTTTAAAATTAAATTGAGTGTGAATTTAAGAAATGTATGCAGCTGCATCCTAATTTATAATAGAAAAACAAAGGATATGGGATATCCATCTATGACACAAAATCAATACATGCACAGAAAAAAAAGAGAAAAAGCTAAGGAACAGAGCTGTCATTGCTGTTCTTCATATTTAAGTCACAGTGAAGCCTTCAATTTATAGATTATCATAAATGTGCATTTCATTTGGAGTTTTTTTTTTTTTTTTATATATGAGCAAAAGTAGGAAAATATATAGTGTTCTGTAAGATATTACAAGCACAACTTTTAATCATTTGAATTGTCTTCGGTTTCTGATAAAATGTGTTATCAGAAGCTTCCAAGAAACGCTTTTTACATATTTTGTACTTCATTTGTTTTAAAAAAAAAACGTCTGCTAAATAAGAATAGTTTTAATATAAAATAAAAACAAACAGAGTAAAAAAAAAAACCAAGTCGCATTGGTTAGTACTTCAATAAATCAAATGTAGCTTATAATTCCTAACAAAATAGTTTCAACTATATTTAAATCGTGTCAATATTGGATAGGCAGCAGTAGTGAACGAAATTAAGCACGTATTGAAGAAATGTTCGAAAATTGAAGAAATGGTAGTTAATAAAAGAAAAAATTCTATACTTATTGTAAAAAGAATTTATAAGCATTTGATCTATTTTTTATTATACACTGTATCAAAACGACATTATAAAGGAATGATATTACTTGGCATATACTGAATGAAATCTTAACAATACATCATTATCTTGTTTATGAAATGTTTAGGTAAACTTGACATCATTAGTCATTTGGACTCTATTTGATAGTTGTATCATTGGTAACCATGCCACAGCTCTTTATTTTTTATATTAAGATCGCAGAAAAGAGAAAACGTGCATTATACATAAATTGCTTCATACATATGATATGACCATCAAAACGTATACTTCCATTTCCAAATATTTTGGCCTTGCGCATCACTGATGAGACATTTATTGTGGAAGTGTGCATCTTGTGCAGTAAAATTGGTAACGTTAATGTTCATACAGAGATTAACAAAGAACTTTAAATGTGAATACAAATCTAGTAATTAATTATTTTGAAAAATACATATTGACCTAAATCAGACCTACTAGTCCATATGCCTTGAATGAAATATTGTACATAGGTACTATTTCTGTACAAAAAATCTGTAGTACTGGAAATTTACTTTTGATATTTAGTACTATCTCTTGACTTAAAAGTTATTATAATATTTAGGTATCTGTATTTTACAGTACTTGGTTTGTACTTAAAATTTTGGTACAGAAATAATACCAACAGTGATCGCAATATTCCATGTTTGAAAACAATATCTTTAAGAGATTTGAAATAGACAAACTTTCAAAATGCTGAAAAATGTAACGGTGTAACCAAAAATCTGTTGTAAATAAATTTCAAGTACAAATCAAGTACTGTAAAAAACAGGTACCTAAATATTACAATAATTTTGAAGTAACAAAATAGTACTGAATATTAAAAGTAGATTTTGGTACAGAAATATACCTATGCAAAAGTAGCTGTGTAGTGTTATTTAAAAAGGAAAACACTTCATAGAGTGCTTTGGTTTTTTAATTGTTATTTATTGGAGTATTCTCTCTTGCTGTTTTCATTGTAATTAAAAGTTCAAGTGCACATAGAAACGGTAATGTTCTTTCAATCATTATTGAATTACTATTTTCTTAAACTTTGTATTTAAAAAAACAGACTTTCCGATTTATATTTATTAATTACATTATATCATAATCATAAAATTATCTATATATGATTTGAACTTTATTGTTCTAGCATTTCTTTCATAGAACTACATCATTCTTCTTATTTTGCTAAGTCGGAAAAAAATTCTATAGCATACACTTACCACATCCTCTTGCATGTAGATAAGCTAATTGAAAGATAACGCATTTCAAAGGAAATATCATTTTGATTGTCTTTGGCTTCAACTGTAATAGATCTGAAAGAAACAATAACCCTAAGTGTGTCACACTTTTTGTAATACTATGTTTTCCTCCGTTGCATGTATTATAAGACAATATATGACCATGGTTTGCAATCTATAATACAACAAAAGTGGTCTCAAATCTTTGGACCAGGAGCTCGTTAACATATTCTTTTACTGAAATTTTAAATCATATCGCTGCTTCTATTTCTCCTTTTTTTTCAAAAGCTCGAATTATTCACTAAGACTTTTCTCACAGTTATACAACAGCCTTAAACGTCACATTTGATTTGGCTTTCCTATCGTTTTGATTTGAGCGCCACTGATGATTCTTATGTAAATGAAACGCGCATCTGGTGAACCAAATTATAAGCGTGGTGTCTTTGGTGAATCTTTTCTATGTTTAATGTGTACAATTTTATAACAAGAAATACATTCATGTTTGTACCTTACCTTTAATGCTTTGTTCTCTCTTGTGACCTTAATTACATGGCTGTTATTTTTGTTTGAAAATTTTGTGGTCTATATATAATAATGAAAATACCTGAATTATTCTTTTCTATCATAAGCGCAAAACTTTCCATATATTATTGACCTTGAAAGATATTTAAATGTAGCATGTCAAATATGTTATTTGTTATAGACATTTAACTGAAATACGATATATACGAAAAATGTTTCAATGTTTAAATATATATATGTTGTGTACAAGTTGTAATTTTGTACAAATTATTATTTGTACAGGGTTTTTGTACAAGTTATCAGTATTTGACACACACCTTCTTTCACCATGTGATGCAAGTTCTAACCTTCAATAATTATCCAGTTCGGTGTTTTACTCACAAATTTATATACTTCAACCTAACATTAAGCACTGTCCTCTATGTCATAAAACTACAAATAAGGACACATGACTGGTTTAGAATATATTTTTATTTTTTTTTATATATACCAAATTCTATGACTGTAGCATGTAGTTGTGGAAATAAAACAGTGATAAGCTTAACCAAAGACACTGTGCTTATTTTATCTAGTTATGTAAAGGGATTCACAAAATGCTGATAACTTGTAGAAACATACTGTACAAATTAACATATATATAAGTGCCTATAAATAGCAGCACATGACATACAAATCTATGGGAGTGTGGATTAATCAGTACAGAGATTAATTCAATTACACAAATAAAATTATAGATTGCCTAACAATGTAATTTTAACACACTATTTAGTATGTAAATATAAGAATGTTTAAAATATTTACAAAATGATGAAAATAAACGCAATATTTCGCTAGACTAACTAGCTTTATCAAGCGTGCATCTATCCAGGTGAAATCGGATGTAGATGATAAGAAACTTTTGCAGCTCAATGTATATGTTGCACTTGAATTTAGCTGCCTTGAAAATAAAACATAATTTGGATGAAGTTCAAGATTTTTACAAAATTGGTAGTTAAAGTTAGCAACGTCCATTGGCCAATATTACAGGATAAAAAGGACGATGCTGTGTACTAAATTATTCTTTATCTTTCCTGTATCTTTTCTCATCTTTTTCGTTAAGACCATCAGGTTCTAAAGTGTGGAGTTGGTGGATCCAAAAATTTTCTCTTCTCCTTCTCGCCGTGGTGTCCCACTCGGTGTTGACTTCTATGATTTGGAAGGTAACATTATCAAAAGAATGTTTCGTTGAACGAAGATGTCTTGTGAGAGGACAGTTTTTGTTGGTTTTGTACAATGAACGATGGTTATTGAGCCGAATATTAAATTTGTCCATTGTTTCTCCCACATACTGAATGCCACATGTGTCACATGTTAATATATAAATTGAGTTCTCCGTTTTACAGTTGGAATTTGAGTAGATGGTATAATTTTGTTTAGTAACGGAGCTGATGAAAGAACTGATTATCTAACGAAAATGGAAAGCCTCAATCCTCTACCAAGCAATACTATACTTGCATCCATGGACGTGTCTTCTTTATATACCAACATTCCACAAGACGAAGGAATAGCAGCGTGTGAAGAGGTATGGAACACTCGTAGTGAAAAAAATCCTCCAACTGAGTGCCTTGTTACACTTCTGAAACTAGTGCTAGAGAACAACAACTTCTCTTTCAATGAAAAACATTATCTCCAGATAGACGGTACTAGTATGGGCACAAAAATGGCCCCGTCATATGCCAACATATTTATGGGCCAACTTGAAAAACGCCTCTTGGCTAGTGCTCCATACCAGCCCTTATCATGGTTCCGATTCATTGACGATATTGATTTCAAATGGACAGATTCACAAGAACATCTTAATGAATTTCTAGGACACTGTAACTCTTTCCACCATTCAATAAAATTTACATATGAATCATCTATGGAGAAAATAAACTTCCTCGACACTACGAGTTACATCAAGAACGGAACCATTTTAACGGACCTTCATACCAAAAAAACGGACAAACATCAATTCCTTTCTCCTAAAAGTTGCCATCCTAAACACTGCTCCCGTGGCATCCCATTCAGCCAGGCATTGCGAATCAAGAGAATATGCTCTACTGAAAATACGCAAAATGCTAGACTTGGACAACTACGTAAACATCTAGTTGTTCGAGGATACAATAACAACATCATTGATAGCGCTTTCGAAAGAGCAAACAAAACTAGTCGCCAAGAACTTCTAGAGTACAAAGATAAGAATAAAGCAGCTAACAGAACACCCCTTGTACTCACTTACCATCCTGATTTTAAAAATGTGTCTTCCATTGTTCAGAAGCATTGGAAAATTATAGAAAATGATTCAAATCTTAAAAAAGTATTTTCCTCACCACCAGTCATGGCCTTCAGAAGACATAAAAACATCCGTGACAAATTAGTGACATCTGTATTAGCAAAGCAGCCTATTCCATCTCCCGGTTGCTACAAACAATGTGGTCGAAGGAACTGCTTGTGTTGTAAAGCTGCCAATACAAGCAGTTCTTTCATCAGCTCCGTTACTAAACAAAATTATACCATCTACTCAAATTCCAACTGTAAAACGGAGAACTCAATTTATATATTAACATGTGACACATGTGGCATTCAGTATGTGGGAGAAACAATGGACAAATTTAATATTCGGCTCAATAACCATCGTTCATGGTACAAAACCAACAAAAACTGTCCTCTCACAAGACATCTTCGTTCAACGAAACATTCTTTTGATAATGTTACCTTCCAAATCATAGAAGTCAACACCGAGTGGGACACCACGGCGAGAAGGAGAAGAGAAAATTTTTGGATCCACCAACTCCACACTTTAGAACCTGATGGTCTTAACGAAAAAGATGAGAAAAGATACAGGAAAGATAAAGAATAATTTAGTACACAGCATCGTCCTTTTTATCCTGTAATATTGGCCAATGGACGTTGCTAACTTTAACTACCAATTTTGTAAAAATCTTGAACTTCATCCAAATTATGTTTTATTTTCAAGGCAGCTAAATTCAAGTGCAACATATACATTGAGCTGCAAAAGTTTCTTATCATCTACATCCGATTTCACCTGGATAGATGCACGCTTGATAAAGCTAGTTAGTCTAGCGAAATATTGCGTTTATTTTCATCATTTTGTAAATATTTTAAACATTCTTATATTTACATACTAAATAGTGTGTTAAAATTACATTGTTAGGCAATGTATATATATATATATATATATATATATATATATATATATATATTAAACCCCCATGTACCAACAATAACAGCATGGACTAATGAAACTGAAATGTTTTTCCATCTCCAGGGAGAGACTGAATAATAGCCAACGATAAATCTTACGGGGCGATGGATCATAAAATTATGATACAGTACACTACAAAATATAATATATAACAAGTCTAAAAGGGTACAACATCACCAAACAATAATTAAATCATGAACAAATTTTAGATATTTCAGATAACTAATATCCTTCATCAGTAAGATGTAAAATGAATCTTATCTTGACATGTGGTAGTCAAACTGAAATAAAAATCTTGAATGCTATACAAATTATCAATAATCAATACGCTGGTAATTTTTTTCAATATTGATGTTTGGGAGGAGGAATAAATTTCTTAAAACTGTAAGAGTCCAAAACGGAAGCCTGAGTTACTGGAAACAAGTGATGGTATGGAAAATAAGTGACACATTCTATGTTTTTTCATGTATGCCCTCTGGGGAAACTGTCCTAAGCTTTCTTATCTAAAACCTTTCCCGAGCAAGTCTGTCGACCCTTGAACCCAGAATGTTGTATACCTTCTTCAGTTCGATGTGGCATGCAGTATGTTGGCGAGACAGAACAGCCATTCAACAAACGCATGAATGGTCATCGAAGTGACTACAGCTGCAAGCCCTACCTCCCCGTAAGTCGTCATTTGAGATCACCTGGGCAAGCCCAAGCTGATCTCAAAAACCTTACCATCACTATCATAGACCACAACGAGGGTTGATCAAGGGCCGACATGGGTGTCACGTATTTTGTTCTTTAAAGACGAAATCATCGAAATGTAACCTACGCGGAATGTAATCTCATGTTGACGCCTTGATGAAGTGCTTTCTTTCACGTCCGCATTTTCTATCATGTATGGCATGCCAAGTTAACATTTTAAATAATTACTACGGATGGTGTAAATAAGTTACAGAACTATGAACAATAACATACATAGAAAATCGTAGGACATAAGAAGAAACCATGTGAGAATTTTTATATCATATTGCATAGTGGTTAAATAAGCTTTTCAATAGTTCTTTGATTAAAATTAGAAATACGACGACATGAGAGGGCATGGTGTATACTGTCCGGAACATTCAACCAGAACAAATATTTGTTTTCAATGAAAACTGAAATAAAAATGAAACAAAACTATCCGACACAATCATATAGCTTTGGTAACTTCAAAGAAATATCTGATAATCACCCGGGATAGCGTGCAAGGAGCAAATTTTCATTTGGTCCCTTTTTGGTGGTGTCTTTTAAATTTGAGTGAGACTATGTTACAAGCGACCAACAAAAATGGCTGCTTACTATGAATAAATTATCTATGAGATATCTTTGTATTTCTGATATTTTCGTTGCTCGTGGTGGCCCGAGGTTCGTGTTCAATCTGTAGTTACCTGTTTTTATATTTTTTTTATTGCTGTTTTCTTTTGTCGCCTCTATATGTTGATGGTGTTGTATGATTTTATTGGTCTTATGATTTTTTATTGGATGTCTATTACCAGTTCCTGGTACTTGGCAAGCTTTCTCTCATGGGCTTCTTCCAGTCTTGTTTCCCATGGTACTGTTAGCTCTACAAGAATGACCTGTCTGCTGATGCTGGACCACAGCACAATGTCTGGTCGGAGGGTTGTTGTTAAAATCTCTCTTGGGAAGGTGGTCTTTCCCCCAACGTCGGCTTGCATCTCCCAGTCATTTGCTGTTGCTAGAATGCCACTGGCTTTGCTGTATGTATTTCTTGATGCCTCTCCCCCTCCTTTGATGA